TACTAAAGGGAAATTATTCCTATTGGGTTCTCAAGGCCCAAAATAAAACTATCATTTTTCATTCCCTATAGTTCTAATTTCTACTTAGGACGAGGTAGTACCAAAACAAATATGAATTTTATTTTTAAAAGAAAAGTGGTACTATTTTTCCAAAGTCCTGTACATTTTAAAAATCCTAAGGACCAGTACTTTTAGAGCTTGTTGGAAATGAATTAAGGACTGAAGCTTAGTTTAAGAAGGCAGATTTTGTAAAGTACCTGAATCGGAGATTTCCACTTTTAGTACCAAAACTGAGATATCCGTCTTCCATTGCTTAGAGCTCATCAATAATTCATTGCCAAAAACAATTGTTAGCCAAAAACTAGTTAAGTTCCTCTTGAATTACATTCCCCCTGAATGTATGCGCTAGGAATAAATCTCAAAACCATACTTGAATTAGGTATAATCAAGCATAGTGAGCACAATTAAGAGAAATATTAGGGCAATGTTTAAACCAATAAAGAAATGTTTAAACAAGAAGGTGTTTTCACCAAAGCAAATTAATGTTTTCACATACTTTCCCCCTGGTTTGATGAAAAAAAGCCTTCAGTGCTTCTTGCGCTTTGAAGATTCGGCAATCTCCCTGATGCCTTGCATGTTTCCACATAGTTCTTTGATGCGCCTTATGTTGTTCCGTCTCTCCTCTGTTTGATTTTCATTTGAGAAGTGAGCAGCAATTGTTCCTACAGCCTCTGTTCCATCCAATCCTGAGCTGGATAGGTGCTGTGTTGAGTTTTCCGGATTACTTCTCTGAGCGTCAAGGACTAGATCAGTCAAGTTTAGATGCGTAGGAATATAAGAGACTTCTCCTTCTTTGACTGCAATAGGGAGCTCTGGAATCAAGGACAGACTGTGTTATTGAAGAACCACTTCCATCTTGCGATTTCCAGAATTTGTGGTAAGAAGTCTGAATAGTTTGTGTGCTTCCTTCTGATTGTCAATGATTACCTTCAAGTAGTCTTTGGTTACTACTTGATTTTCTGAAGACACTGCCAGAGCTGCTCTGATGTCCATTTGGAGAATGGACATTTGTTTTTATAGACTAACTGTGACATTTGCTATTTGCTCTCTTATTTTGTTAACCTCCTTGAGTTGAAGATAACTGTCAGATGCATATGTCTTCATCGTGTTGCTCACAGTGTTACTCAATAGAGAAATGATCTCTAGAGTCTTATCCACTGATTTACTTATCTCCTTGAGATTGGAGCAGTGTGTCTCTTTGGATTTCTCAATCAGTTTGTTGTACCTGGCTTCCATCAGCTCTATCTCTTGCCTAAAGGAGGCATGTTGAGATGCTAGGGCTGATTCAATCAACCCTTGGACCTTCTTTGTCCAGGTTTCCGGTACCTTATCCGGAAGAGTAGAAATGGAAGAGCTATGGAAATGGAAGTTGGTTACCTGATGAGAAGAGGGTGTTCTTTGGAAAAGTTGCATAGGAAGAGATTCCGCATCATCTTGCACATCTTCTTCATCATTGATCTTCAGAGTCCTTTCAGATTCTTCTTCGGCTTCCCCAAGTATAAAATTTGATAAATCCCTAGAGAGGGAATTTTTTTCTTCAGCTTCATTCTGTTCTTCAAAAATGGCTACTAGAGATTTGGAGGCCTCCAGTTCTGCCATTTGAGTTTCCTTCTCAGCTTCTGCAGAACTTCTCTCGGCTTCTACAGCTTGCTCCTCTTCATTTGTTTCTGGAAAAGTTGACTGCTCCGGAATTTCTGCTGACTTTTCCGGGATCTCCGTTTCAGGCTGGTTGGAGATCTCACAAGCAGTTGTGAGAATCTCAAGATCTTTAGACGGGAGATGTTGCTGAAGTTCTTCATTTGATCCTTCCTGGTTCTGGTTTTGTGGAGTAGAGACTGCAGCTTCAGGTGGAACAGTTTCAAAGACAGGTGAGGTTTCCGGAAATATTTGGAAATCCTCAGCTGTTGCTTCCAAGTTAGCCTGTGTTTCAGAAGTGAGAACCACATGATCTTCTGTGGTTTTTGAGAGGACTGGTTTGTATACTGCATGATCCTCATCATCCACTTCAAACTCTGAAATTGGTGAGGTGACCAAGTGTTCTAGATGCAAATCTTCATAGTTCCTTTGCCATACCCAGTCAACATCCAGGATTTGCTCACAGCAATAGTTGACTGGCAGACCTAAGCATTTCTTGATGATCTTCTCATTCTTCAATTGCTGATCCCAACTCAGCAACTGTTCTGCTGAATTTCCAACTTTCCAAGCTCTCCAGTCATAGTAGAGCTGCCAGAATTGATTCTCAGCATCATCTACTTGAGGTTGTGAGGAAGTTGGAGAATTCTGAACTTGAGTTTTCCTCAACTGGTTCCTTCTCCTTCAACTCATCCGGGTTGACATTTCCAGATGTTGAGGGAGAGGTGATTTTCCTCTTCTTTTTCCTTTGTAGTTCTCCTTGGGCAGAGATTTCTTCTTCTTCTTCAAGATTGATCAGAGCAAGATTCTGTGGTGCTTCAGCACGGGGAGAGGGAGACACCACTTGCTTCCTCTTTACTGACTTGTTCAGACTCATGATAAGGACATTGTCTGAAGAACTTTCCTCTGCAGTTGTGCTAGCACCAGCTCTATTTTCCCCTTTGGAAGACAGATAGTATAGCCAATATCTGGCTTCATACTTCTTTCCTTCAGAAGTAGCACCCAAGGACTCCAAGATATGTCCAATGTACAGACCTTGACAAAGGTATTTCTGGTTGTGTTTTCCCAGATGTTTTGAGATGGAATTGAAGAAATGTGCAGCCCAATTTACCTTAGACTTGGTAATGAGGGCATTGATGATGAAGGCCCTCTCTTGGGTGATCTCATCAGCATGTCCTCCACTTCCACACTCGAGGCATGTGATGACTAGTTCAAGGACTAGCTTGTAGTCGTTGTTCAGATTAGCTTTCTTCTGCGAAAGCTTCACTTTTGTCCCTCCAACAGTGGAATTGATGACTTGAATCGTCCTCTGTGGGTCCTTCTTCGATTTGACAGTCTTGACCTTTCCATTCTTGTAAAATTCAAGAACTTCGTTCTCATACTTGAATCGAATCTCCATATGAAGGAATTCGGAGAGCTCTTGAGCAGCAATCATCTCTAGATAGGATTGATAGAACGTTGGTGAGGAGCACTTGGCTTCCAACTTTTGGAAATGGATATTAGCGCCAACAATCTTCATTTTCTTAGAAATCTGAAGAAATTAGGGTTCTTTAGAATTTTATCAGAAGGTTCTCGCGAAGAAGACGATGAAAAATTTGAGTGGGCTGAGTGGGCAGTTGAGATTTGATTATAGTGGCGATTGGGTTTAATTTGGGCGATTTATGCGGCTAGTGGCGATTGGGTTTTTAACTGTTCCCAAGGCCACGTGCCCACCCACCATTTTGACAGACGTGGAAAGTGAACTGCCACGTGTACCGCACTCAGTCTAATTGAATTAGACCAATTTTGTGAAGCAAATCGGAAAACTTGGCTTCACCTAGTGGTTTTGTGAAGATATCCGCCAGTTGTTCTTCAGTTGAGATATACTCAATTTTGATATCTTTCTTTTCCACATGATCTCTGATGAAGTGATGCTTGACATCAATGTGCTTAGTGCGAGAATGATGCACTGGATTTTGTGAGATGGCTATAGCACTTTGATTGTCACAAAAGATTGTCACTTCCTTTGTCTTGACTCCATAGTCCAGTAGTTGTTGCTTCAGCCACAGAATTTGAGCACAACAACTACCAGCAGCAATGTACTCTGCTTCTGCTGTTGATGTAGAAATGGAGTTTTGTTTCTTACTGAACCAAGAAACANAAGTACCAGATGTACTTTTCCGGTCAACTTTGCATCCGGCAAAGTCAGAATCTGAGTATCCCACTAACTCAAATGAATTGCTCTTAGCATACCACAAACCCATGTTCTGAGTTCCTTTGAGGTATCTAAGAATTCTTTTAGCTGCTATCAGATGACTTTCCTTTGGCTTTGACTGGAATCTGGCACAAACACCTACTGCATATGAGATATCCGGACGGCTTGCAGTAAGGTAGAGTAGAGATCCAACAATTCCTCTGTAGAGAGTTTGATCTACATCCTTTCCATCCACATCCATATCAAGCTTGGTGGATGTACTCATGGGGACAAACAGATGACTTCTGGTCAACTATGAATTTCTTGATAAGATCCCTTGTGTACTTGGCTTGGTTGATGAGAGTCCCTTCATTTCTCTGTTTTATTTGAAGGCCAAGGAAGTAGTTGAGTTCCCCCATCATGCTCATCTCAAATTTTCCTTGCATGAGGGTTGAGAACTTGGTGCAGAGATCTTCCTTAGTTGAGCCAAATATGATGTTGTCCACTTAGATTTGGACTAACAAGAGATCTTCTCCGTATTGTAGTTTGAACAATGTCTTGTCAATGACTCCTTTGATAAATCCATTGTTTATAAGAAATTGAGACAATGTATCATACCAAGCTCTCGGAGCTTGTTTGAGTCCATACAACGCCTTTTTGAGTCTATACACTTGATCTCCCTTAGTGTGTAACTCAAATCCTGGAGGTTGTTCCACACAAACTTCTTCCTCGAGGTTTCCGTTGAGAAATGCGCTTTTGACATCCATTTGATAGACTTTGAAATCCTTATGAGCAGCGAAGGCTAGAAACAGCCTTATAGCTTCAAGTCTAGCAAGTGGAGCGAAGGTTTCATCAAAATCTATACCTTCTTCTTGACAATATCCTTTGGCAAGCATAGCTTCTAGATTTTGCTGAGCACTTCTTGTGCGAACGCCAGATTGAATATCTCCAATGACTTGTTGGGGAGGATGATCCCTTAACCAACGAAGATTGTGTTGATTAGGATTGACTGATTGATCTAGTTCAGCTTCTGGTTGAAGAACAGAAGTTGGTGTTTCCGGATGGATTGGCACTGGGTCGCCATTTCCGGAATTGTCGTCGTTTGAGTGATCCGGAATATTGGAAAGCTGGCCAAGATTTCGGGTAGGCTCAGCAATGTTTGAATCTGGATTTCTCTGTGAAGTCTTCAGTGGTAGACTTCTGAATGGAATGAACTCCGTAGACTTCATTCTATCTCCTTCATTGACTTCTTCATCCTTGTCAGATAGATCCAGAACCTCATGATCATGCTTTGATGGCTTGTCTGGTAGTCCCGAAGTGGTGAGATACAAAGTCTAGAGGGGGGGGTGAATAGACTTTGTTACAAATTTAAAAACTTTTTTTCGTTTCTTTTGAAAACGTGAAAATGAGTGTTAATCTAGAGTTCTTGTGAACTTTAGATTATGTGCGGAAGTTGGTGGGTAGAGTGAGCAGTAATCAATATGGATGGGTTAGTTTTCTCAGTTAATATAATTGCAAGTAAGAATAAAGATAAAAGAGAGAGACACGCAAACTTTAACGAGGTTCGAAGGTGGGGTAATCCTTCTACGTCCTCAAAATCCACTATATAGTTGGTTGTTGAATAATGAACCAACAATTACACTTGTGTGAATTTCTGCACGGTATTTCTTCGCAAGGCCAATGTTGCTACTGCACTTGTGCTGGCTTTGTTGTTCCTTCGAAGGTCACACTTCTTCAACAACTGCAAGGTCCGAACAATAGGACTTGCAAGACCAACTTGTAAGAAAGTTGACCTACCCCCTTTCAATCAGTAAGTTTGATCAAAAGTTGTATCCTTCAACGTGGTGTGGTACTTGAGGCAAGGAAACCTTCAAGTATTTACACTATAGCTCTTTGGAAGAAGGAGAAGTTTGCTTCTGGATGAGGAGTTTAGAAATCTCTCTTTATCAAGCTTTTTGGGCTAACTGTGAATGAGGTAGCCTCTTTGTG